CTTGTAACTGCTCATTTTTACTAGTGACAAAATATTGCCAAATCTCTTGCTCCTCTCCTCTGACAATACTGCTCCCCACCCTACCCCTGAAATTGCCTCCAAGCCAGTGCCTCTATGCTCACTGCCTTCTGCCTCCCCCTCCTGCCAAACGGAGATTTATGGGAGACACTTATTAAAAAACATTGTAACCGTTTCCCCATTTTTTATGACACTGACGGTGAGCGTTATTTACTGTTATTGTTTTGCGGGGCCTGGGTTCCTTTACAAGCCTCTTCCATTGCTCCCTAGAGGAGGAGGGAGCCCTTTTCAGCTCTAAAACGTGGAAAGAAAAAAGGTGAGGGGGGGGGAGATGTACCCTCCATGCTGTTGTTGTGATAAAGGAATGGAGATTTGCCCTCCAGAATTAATTACCTGGCAAACAGGTGCCCAGGGCCCAGGAGATAGTGCTACAAAAGCAGCTTCTAGGTTTTCCTTGCTGAGATTTCTGCATCCACCCTCCCAAAAGGGCTTCTTCTGGTTGCTTGTGGCTATAGCTTATTGCAAGGTGCAGCACAAAGTCTAACAGCCCTGCAAGAAAGGTCAGTCTTGTTACAGGAGAGGAAGGGTCATATTATTATTTGGGGAAGGGCCATTGCTCAGCCCTAGTGCCCCTGCTTTACAAGCAGAAGGTCCCTGGGTCGATTCCCAGTGGCATCTCCAGGTAGGGCTGGGGAAAGACTCCTCATCTCAAATCCTGGAGAGCAAGCCCTACTACTGATGTGCTCAGCAGTATCCAGGATCTCAAGCAGATGTCCTAAAATAACTTTGGTTGGTATGTTTTGGGGAAGGTGTTCTTAGCTCTGCTGGGAATTGAACCTGTGACCTTCTACATGCAAGACAAATGATCAACCACTGAGCTATGGCCCTTTCCCAAATTGGGCTGAATCCAAAGCTGAAAACTGCAAGCCGACAATGGCTACCATATAAACCTCATGGTCCTCTCCTGCTATCTCCTCTTTCCTCCCTGTTTGCAAGATTGCCAGGTAGAGCAATGTGGAACTTTTTGATCTTAATGCATTGCAGCAAAGTGTTCTCCTCCTGACCTCCCTTGAGAAAGAACTGAGGGAAGCAAGGAGCTCAACCCACAATCAAAAGGGAAAGAGACATGCAGAGGAGTCTGACAGTAGGACAGAAGTGACTAGAAGAGTCCCAGAGACTGAGAGGATTAAAAAAAATAAAAAAGGAAGGCAGATGACCCCCATAAAGGAAACAGGATGGTCTCTTGCCTTTCAGATGTCAGAACAAAGTGAGAGCAAAGAATCCTTAAAAAGATGCAGGCTGCTCTGCAGGATCCTGGGGTATTCCCCAGGGTGGCCACATTACAGAGCAGACACAGGATGTGGTGAGGAGGGACTGACCCACTGTTGATTTGGCAAGAGCATAGAGATGAAAGACTGCAGCAGCCACTGTGAGGATACAACTCTGATAGTGGGGCATTTGTCCAATAATGTGTTTAGTTATGGAAAGCAAAAGGTTACATAGTTAAAGAGATGGTTCTCCATTATATAGGGTCATGCAAATCAAGTCTGTATGTATTCAGGATGGGCAGATTTCCAGTTTCTCCCCCATTTCTCATTTTTCTGATCTTAAATTCAGCACGCCACATATCTGCATTAAAAAAAAAATCATCACAAAGATTTCTTAGGATTTTGGTGCAAATTTCTCCCAAGAAACAGATTCTTCATGTCATTTTGACTAATATTCACATTTGTACAAGTCATTCCCCCTAATGCAAGATGTTTTCATGTTGCTTTTTCTTATTCTATAAACTTTAATGCAAACCACCACCACCATTTGCATTTTTGTATACATTGTTTGGTGGGAGAACAGCATCACCAAACTTCAGAGAAGTGTGGATTTTCACAGGTAGCTATGTTTCAGCTCACATGCGAATTAGGGAGTTCTTCCTTAAAATGCAAACCAAATGGAATTTCACCCCCATCCCTAATAAGGATGTTGTGATTCTATGCAAGCACAAAAGCACTGAAAATGATGTTCAGGCTCAGCCTCTTAACAATCTCAGCTTTCATTTTTTTAAAATAATGATTAAATATTAAGTTTCTAGAAGGTTTGGGCAAGGAATTGGTTCAGGGCTCGATTCAGCCAACCTGATCAGGCCCAGGTCCAACCCAGAGTGATTTGTGCCCAACCCGGCCCTAGCTAGATCCCAAATTGACAGCCTCTTCCTGCATCATCTACTTCTTTCCCCTGCTCTCCTCCCCACTCGACCACTCGACCCCTTTGACAGCCCTAGATCCCTCATTTTGATTTGGGATATGGGATTTGTCCAGTTTCTAGCTCTAATGGCATGGAAGTGTGTTGGTCAATGCCTGACAGAACCTCAGAGAGCTAAGGAAATAGTCCTACAAGAGATATGCAAAATAACTAAACAGGTATTAGAACTCTCTCCAGAAGTGGCCCTACTGAACACCTTCCAAGATCATAATGACCACTCGCATTATTCAGAGCTTATAACCCACCTACTCTCAGCAGCCAGAGGCCTCATACAATTTGATACCATTGGTCCATGGTACTGGAGAGACCTGTCAGGAGGGAACATGGACCAATGGTATCAAATTGTATGGGAAACAGCCTTACTAGAAAAGCCAACCAATAAACTGAAACTGACACAGGGACAAATAGGACTCCTTCACCCCAGTATGGCTCCCCCTTATCACATACACAGCCCAACAAGACAACAACAAGAATCCACCCACAGCATACAAATGAATCTGGCATACCTGACCCGACAAGCCCTCCCCCCCTCACAAATGCAAACAACCCCACTGCAGCCAACCACAGACCACCAACCACACCCTGCGCCCCAATACCTCACAACCAAGGAAGTGTAATAAGAGAACCTACCCAGTTGACGCTGACACAAAACCCTGCACATACACTATACAAAATAATATAAACCTCACCACCCCACCTCTCCTCTCCTCGTCTTCTTCCCTAAACTTATACCGTACTCAACACTACTGTAATGTCTCTCAACACATGTACGATAACTGATTTGGAAGAAAGACTGTACAACTTGTAAAATGAGACGAGGCATGTGCTGTACTTTTGTAAACCAAGAAAATCTTAAATAAAAATACATTTGAAAATAAAATAAAATAAATGTAAGGAAATGAAAATAAAACTGCAAATAGAATTAATGCCATTATATAAATCTATGGTATGGCTGCATTTGGGACACTGTGTACAGTTCTATTCACCTCACTTCAAATAGGATATTGTAAGGTTGGAAAGGGCCAGCAAATTGATCAAGGAGATGGAACAACTTCCCTATAAGGAAAGCTTGCAGCGTTAAAGACTTTTTAGTTTAAAGAAAAGACAAGTGAGGGCTCGTCCACACTTCTGCTTGCCCTGGGGAAACCCACTGCTGAACTGCAGCAAACATCAGTTATGTATTCTATGGATTGCTGTTTGCTCCAATTCAGCAGTAAAGAGCAGATTTTTTCCCCAGGGAGAGTGGTGGGACAAACAGAAAACTGCTTCAACTCATGCCTAGAAAGCACTAGACAAGTGGAAAACCTCTCCGCCCCATGCTTTCTAGGCAAAGGACAAGTGAAGTGTGGTCGAGCCCTCAGAGGTGACACGGTAGAATTTTATAAAATTATGCATGGTCTGAAGAAAGTGGATAGAGAAAAGGTTTTCTCCCTCTGTCATAAAACAGAGGACATCCAACAAAGATGAAGTTTGGAAGATTCAAGATGGACAAAAGAAAGTTCTTTTTCACACAGCACATAGTGAAACGACGGAACTTGCTCCTGCAGGAGGCAGTGATGGCCACCAACTTGGATGGTTCAAAATGAGGATTGGACAAATCCATGGAGGACATGGCTTGCAATAACTACTAGCCATGATAGCTACATATGTTCTGCCTCCATGGTCAGAGGCAGTCATACTTCTGAATACCAGTTGCCATAATCCACTGGAGGGGAGAGTGGTCTTGTTGGACTAGATGGGCCTTTGCTCTGATTCTGCAGGTCTCTTCTTAGCCACTGTAACCAAGAATAGAGCCTCCCTGCTAAAATGCAGTCTATCTCTGAATACCAGTTGTTGGGAAGCAACAACTATTGTGCTCAGGTCCTGCTGGCGGGTTTCCCATTGGGGCACCTGGTTGGCCACTGTGAGAACAGGATGCTGGACTAGATGGGCCTCCTTTCGCCTGACCCAACAGGGCTCTTTCTGTGTTCTTGTGTGAGAAAGGTATGGCCAAACCAAAGCTCCTCTCTGCTCAACCAGTCTTGTACACCCTATACAGAGGGAACCATGTTGCAAGTTATAAAAAACTGAGAATGGGGTGCAGGCGGCGAGAGAGCAAGAGAGGAAATGACTCCAGCCTGAAGCACTGTTGCAACAGGTAAACTCTCAGCCCGGCTTCCTGGTATGCGCTCCCACACGCCAGCGAACAGCCAAGCTAAAAATACTGGCGTGTGGAAAGCAGGAGGCCAGAGTGGCTGTTTTCTGCAGCGACTGATGGCTTTGGATTCCCAGCTCTTCCCAGCGAAACCAGATGGTTAGCTTCAGGAAAGGAAAAAAAGCCTGGAAGAGGGGGGTGGGAGAGAAGGGAGCTTGCAAAAACCATGAAGGGATGCTTCATTATTTATTTTATAAAAATTATACATGATTGTAAAAAACAGAACCTCAAAGCGGTTTACAAAAAGAATAAAACAATGAAATTGCAGTGGTACTTCAGGTTACATACTCTTCAGGTTACATATGCTTCAGGTTACAGACTCCGCTAACCCAGAAATAGTACCTCGGGTTAAGAACTTTGCTTCAGGATGAGAACAGAAATCGTGCTCCGGCAAAGCAGCAGCAGCGGGAGGCCCCATTAGCTAAAGTGGTGCTTCAGGTTAAGAACAGTTTCAGGTTAAGAACGGACCTCCAGAATGAATTAAGTACCGTAATTAACCCGAGGTACCACTGTATTGGTAAAAAAACCAAACATGCAAAAGATAAAATCAGCAATAAACTAAAAACAGATTAAGATATACACCAACATTCTACATGTCTGGACAGGATTGTCTAATCAGAATTGCTTTTAAGCAGGTACCAAAAAGAGTACAGTGAAGGCACCTTCCTAATGTCAAGAGGCAGGGAATTCCAAAGTGTAGGTGCTGCCACACTAAATGACCAATTTCATACAAATACAGAACAGGAACCATGTGTCCAATCAGGGTGAAAGGACAGGGGTCTCTTGAGGTAACATGGAAAGGGGGTCCCACAAGCAGCTGACTCTTGACATCCAGGTGTTGGATCGAGGCATGTTGTTCTGGTCAAAGCACATGTTGCTGGTGGGCGGCGGGCCAGACGAAAAAAATGGGTGTAGCAATGAATGTAAATTTGATGGGGTCTGCACAGATATGAGGAATCACGTGTCCTGTCAACTAAAGTCTAGTGTCCAGATCAAGTGATGTCCTGGCCTCACTCTATCCTGCCTTGGTTAGAGTCCTGTGTCCAGTTCTTGGGGTCTGGTAACCAAGCATCACGATCAACGGTTGAGGGAACTGGGTTTGTTTAGCCTGGAAAAGAGGAGACTGAGATGAGATATGATGGCCACCTTCAAATATCTAAAGGGTTGTCACATGGAAGATGGGCCAAATTTGATTTTTCTTGCTCTGCAAGGTAGGATCCAAGCCAGTGGCAGCAAGTTACAAGAAAAGAGATTCTGACTAAACATTAGGAATTCTTTAGCTGTGATACCTGCATTGAAGATGGTTGGGCTAGATGACCTTTGGTTGTGCCAACTTTACAATTCTATTATTGCTAAACCATACTGGGAAATGTTAATCTGTGAGGGGAATAGGAGTCTCCTAAGAACTCTCAGCGCACTACATCTCCCAGGATTCTTTGGGGAAAGCCATGACTGTGCCATCATAGATTTGGATGGGCAGAGATTCCCCATTCTGCCTGTTATTATTCCTCCTTCCTCCACCACCCAGCCAAAGAACCTCACCAGTTGGGGAAGTGGAAAGCATGAAACAATACCAGGGGCCAGAAGCTTCAGAAAAGAGAGAAGCACAGTGAGCTGGCAGTGAGGACTAGGAGCTTGAAACCAAAGCATGAGAGTGGCAATTAAGAATTGTGGAGACTTAAGGAGGTGGATGATGAGCTCATCTTTTTTTTTTTCCTTCTGTATACGTGAGTCGACTCCTCCACACTCTTCGTGCCTAAACTGGGGTTTCTGAATTGGCCGCATGCCTCACAAACAATGTACAAGGATGCCAGAGGGCAGCTCTGGGAGGAACGGAGGCAGGGCTGAGCCAGCATAGGCCCTGAGAACGCTTTGAGCCCAAAGAACTCTCTCTGAATCTCTTGATCTCCAGCTAGGCACTCAGCAGCTAGGCAGCATGTTCAGGAGGCGGTTGTCATGGCAACCCCTGGCACTCATTTCCCCCCATCTCGGATGCAAATGAATTACAATTTTATTAGTGTGCCAAATTTCAAGGAGGAGGGAGCATTGGATTGGGGGGGGGGAGAGAGCTTCGGAAGGAGCACTTTTTTAGATTCATTTGCAGGAGAATGTGCGCCTGTGTGTTTATAGGGGAGAAGCGTTATAAGGTTCCCATGTACAATTAAGGTAAACCAAAACAAATGCAAATCCAGACGCTTCATCCAGAAAGTGCAGAGTGCTGAGAATTTCTAACTCTTCGTGCCTGGGAATTGGCTGCTCACAGATGGGGTCAAAACAAACTCTGCATATGCTCAGAGGTGCTGTTCTTCCTCCAACCTAGCTTTGCAAAAATAATAATAATGCACCCACGTGATGCAGACCCGGTAATGGTACAGACAAATGGAGCCACTCAAGAGCATTCGAGAGGAGAATTTCTGAGTGGATACTACTAAGAGCAGACCTATTGAAATTAATGAACCAATCTTAGACCTCTCCATTAACTCAGAGCAGGACTCAGCTAAATGCAACTGTCTGTTGCTACTCCCACAGTATAGCGGAGTATATATTGGAATAGCCCTACAGCAGCACTGAGAAATCTGAGACCCAGGGACTAGATGTGGCCCTCCAGCCCTCCCTATGTGGCCCTTGGAACTCTACCAGGCCACACACCCTGTCCCCAGGCCACACCCCTCACCAGTTCTGCTCCACACCCTCCTTGAGTGTTTATGGCCAAGCTGGAACATGCCCATGAGCTTTGATCATGTCTCTTGTTTTCCTGGATGGAGGCGACAGAGGGGCATGTATAGAAACTAGTACAAAAGCAAAATTTACATTAATTGCTCCTTACACTTTTGCCCCTGGCTCCACCCACCACTGGCATGTGTGGACCCCAAAGGTTGTGCAGATGGGATTGCAGCACTCAGGCTGAAATAGGTTCTCCAGCCCTAGAGTTGATGAACCTGTGTGTAGAACAGGGGAGTCAGCAACCTTTTTCAGCTGTGGGCCGGTCCAGCGTCCCTCAGACCATGTGGGGGGCCGGACTATATTTTTTGGGGGGAAATGAACGAATTCCTATGCCCCACAAATAACCCAGAGATGAATTTTAAATAAAAGGACACATTCTACTCATGTAAAAACACACTGATTCCTGGACCGTCTGTGGGCTGGATTGAGAAGGTGATTGGGCCAGATCCAGCCCCCGGGCCTTAGTTTGCCTACCCATGGTGTAGAAACACCTGACTTTTGCATAGCTGGAGTTATACCCATTCCCCCACCCACCCACTTTTTCCTCTGCCCCCGCCCACCACTTGCATGTGGCTCCTAGAAGCTTGCTGAAAAGGGAATACATCAGCATCCGTTACTCTGCCTGTTGTTGCATCTGGCCCTGCCTAGCCCTGGCATGTGGTCCCTGCAAAGTTCCCTATGGGGGGAAGTGTCCCTTGAGATGAAATCATTTTCCTCTGTCAAAGACCTCAATCCTTGCTCATGGGCCTGAACACTGCAGTCTTTCCTCATAGGGTAGTGGATCCACCCCATCTGATCATTTCAAATACAGCTATTGAAATTCTCCTGGCTCCTGCCTCTTTGGATGTTTTCGAGTGCTAGGAGAGAACGAGAAAACTTTTCTCCATACAGTGGTACCTCAGGCTACAGACGCTTCAGGTTACAGACACTTCAGAAATAGTACCTCGGGTTAAGAACTTTGCTTCAGGATAAGAACAGAAATCGCGCAGCAGCAGCAGCAGCAGGAGGTCCCATTAGCTAAAGTGGTGCTTCAGGTTAAGAACAGTTTCAAGTTAAGAACAGACCTCCAGAACGAATTAAGTTATTAATCCAAGGTATCACTGTACCATCATTTTATTCCACCACTTTTCCTCAACTTTTCTGAACTAAACTAGAGCTTTCAGGGGCAGGAAGGAGACTTGGAAAAGAGCCCTCCCCTTGCCCCAGACCATCATTTCATCCTCCCTTTCTTGACATGTCAGGACATCTGTTCGTGGCTTCCCTCCACACACCCTGCTTTCGCCTCTGGCTGCCTCCTTCCCTTGTTGTGAGAGTGAGTCAGATTTTCCGAGATATGGAGGCTGCTGCAGCTGCAAACTTTGCTCTCTATGCGAGTCATGAAAAAGTGTGACCAGGGCAGGGGTTGGCTGCGGGATGCTTCTGGGCTGACTCACACACGCAAACACAGGCTGCAAAAAACCTTGACTGGGCCGGGGAAAGCAGACATAAGAACATTTTACCTGGTCACTCAGGAGCCCAGGAAATGTAAAAATAACCTGGCTGATAGATCAAGCCACCAAAGGCTCGCCAAGTACAGCCTCCAGTCTTCACAATGTCCAACCAGTTGCCCAAAAGGGATGCCCCAAAGCAGGATCAGAATGCACCCTCCCCACTTGGAATTCCCAGCAACCGGTATTCAGAAGGATACTGCCTCCAACAGTGGAGGTAGAACATAAATTGAGCCCTGCTGGATTAGGCCAAAGGGGACCCATCTAGTCCAGTATCCAGTTCTCATGGTGGCCAGCTAGACTCCCTCCACTGTTGGAGGCAGGATGCGTCTGAATACCAGTAGCTGGGAATCACAAGTAAAGAGACTTGCTGCTGCACTCAGGTCTTCCTATAACAGGGATCTGCTTGGCCCCTGTGGGGCCAGAGTGCTGGACTACATGGGCCCCCTTTGACCTGATTCAGAAGCAAGGCCTGTTTGTCTGGAGGTCTGTGGCGACAGTAGAATCTCCATGCTCAGGAGCAGTCTACCTCTGAATACCAGTTGTTGGGAAACCCAAGAGTGGAGAGTTGCTGTTGCACTCAGGTCCTGCTTGGGGGCTTCGCATAATGAACATCTTGTTGGACACTATGAGAGCAGGATACTGGACTTGATGAACCCTTTGGCATCATCCAAGAGCCATGCTTTTCTTACATTCTTAGGACTAGATATGGGTAAGATTACAGCTACAGTGTGATTTCAAGCGGACTGCGGCAGAAACTCAGGACTAACAGAGCCTTACCAGGAACAGTGACATATTTGCAGCGGAACAGCCAGAGACACTGTGCATGATGCACCCACTACTAGCATCTGCAGTGTGCATTCAGAAACACTCCCACCTGTCAACACGCTTTCATGAGAGGCTCTGCAACACACTGAAAGAAATAAGCTCCCACTGTAGATTAGGCCTCCTGGGGGGCACACACGGGACCCCTGGAACTTGCTGGAAATGCGGGTCCCTGCAGGGTTTCCTAAAGAGCCTTGTTCATGGGAGTCTGGGGGTAATTATATGCCAGGGGAGTGTGAGATCCAAACCCTTCCTGACCTGAGGCTGCAGAGTTCCATGGATCGATGGCAAAGAGGCTCTTTTATTTTCCTTCGGTGTTTCGCTGACGGATGGAAAAATCAATGCCCCACAGAAGAGAGAGGAGGGGGAAGGGGAGAAGGGGAGGGGAGAAGGAGGAAAAGTCAGGTGGGGGTGAAGAAAGAGAAAGAAGGCAAGGAAGACTGGGTTGAGAGAAGACGCTGCCACTGGGTTGGGCTGTCTTCAACTGGCCAGTTCCAAACTTGTATAGCCATTTAGTTGGCTAAATGGTGATAATTTTAGGGTTTCTTATTGGTGTTGTTGATTATTAATTTTTCATCCTGTCCTTCCTCCCACACAAGCAAGGAAGCCATGAATGTTTAAAGTGGTATTGTAGTGCTTTAAATGTATAGTGTGCGTGAAATAAGTAATATGATAATGTATAGATAGATAGATAGATAGATAGATAGATAGATAGATAGATAGATGCAGGGCATGGTGAAAGTGAATAGAAAAAGGGTTTTATCCCTCTCTTATCATAACACTGGAACTCACGGATGTCCAAAGAAGCTGAATGTTGGAAAAGTCAGGACAGATAATAGAAAGTACTTCTTCACGCAGTACATAATTAAACTATGGAACTCACTCCCACAGGAGGCAGTGATTGTCACCAATTTGGATGGCTTTAAAAAAGAATTGGACATATTCATAGAGAAGATAAGGGTTGTCAATGGCTACTAGCCATGATGGCTATGTTCTACCTTCATAGTCAGAGGCGGTAATGCTTCTGAATACAGGTTGCTGGGAACCACAGGAGGGCTGATCACTGCTGTTGTGCTCAGGTCCTGTTTGTGGGCTTCCCATAATAGGCATCCGGTCAGCCATTGTAAGAGGAACAGGAGCTGGACTAGATGGTCATTGGCCTGATCCAGCAGCCGGACTCTTCTTATGTTCTTATGTTAGGTGATTGACAAGTGAACAGTCCCATCCACCTGTCAAGATTGACCCATGGGGTGGGGGGGTGGGGGGAAGGGATCTGGCAAAGGCAAAGAAGAAGAGAATTTGGGTGCTCTCCACAATGAAGGTCTGTTGGGAACATCTAGCCCAAGCACCATCACTATCCCCAAAGTGGAACCAGTATATTAGGAATAAGATGAATACAGAAAGCTGCCTAATACAAAGTCAGACCATTGGTCCATCTAGCTCAGTATTGTCTGCACTGATTGGCAGACGCTCTCCAGGGTTATAAGCAGGGAGTGTTCCCTCAGCTCTGCTTGGAGATGCCATTGGAGATTGAATCTGGGACCTTCCGCATGCAAAACAGATGCTTACCATGGAGCTATGTCCTCCAAAATAAAAATAAAGTAAGGTTCTAGACCTTATGGTACAGAGCTGGAGATAGTCATGCTTCTGAAACCTCAGGAGGGGAGAGTGCTCTTTCACTCGTACCTGTTTGTGGGTTTCCTATAATGCACACCTGGCTCGTCACCATGAGAACAGAATGCTGGACTAGATGGGCCTCCTTTCCCCTGATCCATCAGGGCTCTTTTATGTTCTTCGCATTGGTCCATCTGGCTCAGTACTGTCTACACTGACTGGCAGCAGCAACACTCCAGGATTTCAGGCAGGGGAATTCCCAGCCCTACCTGGAGATACCATTGGAGATTGAAGCTGGCACCTTCTGCATGCAAACCAGAGGCTCTGCCACTGAGCTGCGCCCCTCAGGAGGAGCTGGGTGCACTCACCCCAATGGGGGTCCAGTAGCACTATCAATGCCATCAGCTCTCAAAAATACCTGGAACTGGCTTTGATTCCACCTGCTAACAGAGAGGCAGATTTAATCTTCCTTTGGACACACAATGTCCTGAGATAGAGCGGAAATGTGCTGCTAATGTTGGCGCCTGGCACCAGCTCTCCAGAGTAACATCTACAGGCCCCAGTCTGACCCTGGCAAGTTGGCCAGGGTGTCAGCTGTCACACTCTGACTTTTTATAGCTCAGGCTGTGCAGACAACAGCTAAAAATAAATCTCAATTTCCAAGGACCCCCGGACCCAGGCTTCGCGAGCAGAGCTCACGACACAAACACAGCCCGCACTTTCTGAGCATTTGAAAGAGAAACATTGTGCATAAGAACATCAGAGACTGCTGGGTGAGGTCCATCTAGCCCAGCATCCAGTTGTGGCCAAACAGATGCTCCAATCGGAAATCAGCAAGCAGGATTCAAGTACATAAGCCGTCTCTCCTCTTATGGTTTTCAGCAATTAGCATTCAGAAGCATTGCTGCCTCCAACTGCAGAGGCAGAGCATAGCCCTTAACAGCTTGCAGCCAGCTTACTCGCAAGACCGCCTTACCCCTTATACACCGACTAAACCACACTGATCTGTGGAACTGACCCTGTTATACAGGTGCCACATAACACCCACATTTGTAAGAAATATATATTTTAGTGTGGCAGCACCTACACCCTGAAACTCCCTACCTATTGACATCAAGCAAGCACCTTCACTGTACTCTTTTCGGCACCTGCTAAAAATATTTTTGTTTAGATAAGCCTATCCAGATGTTTAGAATGTTATTGTTTTATTCTCTTTGTTAATTGTTTTGAGGTTTTGTTTTGTTTTTACAATCTAGGAGCATATAAATTTTATGAAATAAACAAACAAATAGAGCCATCGATATTCCTCTCCTCCATGAATTTGTCTAAACCTCTTTTAAAGCCATCCAGGTTTGTGGCCTTCACAGCCTCCTGAGGGAGCGAGTTCCATTGCTTAACTGCACTGCATGAAGAAGAATGTTCTGTTGTCTGTCCTGAACCTTCTAAAATTCAGCTTCAT